AGCTTTTTCAGATGCTTTTTGGGCAGCAATATCCAGGGCCATAGAATGTAGACTAGTCACTCTAGGCTTAATTATATTTTTGAATTTATCGGAATTTGATGTAGACAAACCTCGTGAGGGATCGTGACCGAGATATATAGCATTCGTTTTTTTCAATATATCGATATAATTATCAAGATCTGCTGACTTGTATCCAAGAGGTCTTTTTTTGAACATTAGTTCATATAAGCCCGCAGTACCAGGATACTTTTTTCCTTTGATAATAGGGTTAGCATTATCAAAAGTTATAGGGGAATCACCAATGGAAAATTTATTAGTCATCACATCATAAAAAATTCCAAACGTTTCATCAAAATCTTTATTACTTGTTTCTATTTTTTCCCGGATGTAAGCTCTGGGTAGAGGTACTGCATATTGCTCTAATTCTTTGAGGTATCCGGGTGTCAATTCAATATCTGGTGGTAATTCGGGTTCAGGTCTATTATACACTGTTTCATCGAAAAAACTCCCTTCATCTTCTATAGATGGATCATAAGAAAATGATGTTTCAGGTTTAGACGCAAAAATTGATTTTCGCATATAATTTGGGAAACTTGTTGAAATATTCCTTGATGGTGATGATTTAGGTGATGTCTTATACTCAGTTTTAATTTCTCGTGGTATTTCCAATTTTGATATCAAATTTTTTAGTGGTTCTGTCAATGGTTTGTATGTTTTTTCTAAATTCGTTTCAGATTGTGCAATATCACTTTTCAATAGTCTATACTTTTTTCTCAAAGCAACTCTGGTTTTTTCCAATTCTTCGGCGAGTTGATGATTCATCATGTGAGATTTGTGTCGAACTGTTGCCGGAATCTATGAAACATATATTTATATTGTTATAAAAATGTCGAAGCCCTTTCTATATCGGCCAGCATCCATAGGGCAGTCTTTGTCTATTACAAGAAAACCAAATTTATCCGACCAACAGAACGCGCAAATTTCCTTGAATTGTGTAAAATTCATATCGATATTGACATGATCATCATAAATATGTTTCAAATTAGTCATATCTGATTGAAATACAATAATGAGGTTTGCATTATCTCTCAATAATTGTTTGGATATGGCAGAATAAGTCTGACTTATGAAAAAGGAGTCGGTATTCTTATGTCTACCGAAACAAAAATATTTTTTTATGATATTTTGATCACATGATACAACGTCATCGAAAATTATCACGGAATTTGGACTAATTTCCTCAGGATATATAACATCATCACCATCACTGAATTCATAATAACCAATCTCAGGTATAGATCCCATTAAACTTCTCAAATACTCATATTTAGGTTGATACAATGATTTTGAATAGATATAAAGATTTTCGAAACGTAATCCGTTTGGGTGTTCAAGTAAACTCAACATAACATTCGTTTTCCCACAACCAGATGCACCTACAAGAAGTCCTCGTTTCACCTGACCCCCAAATAAGGGCCCATGTTTATGGTATTGTTTGACTGAACTATGACTATCATGGTTGGTGATTTCTAAATGATATTTTTGTTTCTGTATCTTCATTTCGAAAAGTGTTTATGCACTGAAAACACGAAACTTTCGCTTCACTATATATATATATATATATATATATATATATATATGTCGACAGAATCAGATCACTTACATTCCATATAATGACTCGACACAAGCGGAATGCTATCATTCGTTCTCAACTGTCGAAGAAAAAGGGTAGTGGGTTGTTGAATAGTCTAATCAATAAACTCCCTTTCGAGGCGCATATACCAGGGTATTCTTATTGTGGTCCTGGAACAAAATTACAAAAAAGATTGAACAGGGGTGATCCAGGTATAAATCCGCTTGATGATGCGTGCAAATCCCACGATATAGCCTATTCTAAATTTGATGACGTAGAAACTAGAAATCAAGCCGATCGTGAATTAGCGGCTGCGGCGGTTAAACGTTACAAATCATCAGACGCCGGGCTTGGTGAAAAACTAGCAGCTCTAGGAGTAGCTGGTATCATGAAATCGAAGGCCAAATTCGGTATGGGATTGAAAAAAAAGATGTCTTGTAAGAAAAAAGGTGGTTCCTTGAAATTTGGAAAAAAACGGAAAACAGTGAAAAAATCTAAAAAGCAAAGAATTATTCCAACCCCAAAGATAGGTGGATTCCTTCCATTACTGTTACCACTTTTGGGAGCACTTGGAGCTATTGGTGGTGGAACAGCTTCGATTGTGAAGGCTGTTAATGATGTGAAAACTAATAGAAAAGCGTTAGAAGAGCAAAAAAGACATGATGCAGCCGTAGAGGAAGCATTGAAAAAGGGTAATGGTTTATACCTCAAACCATATGCAAAGGGCTCTGGTTTGAAAAAAAACTAATTAGGAAGCTACCACGCAGAGCACTCACTAACATCGACTTACTCAAATATGTTGAATATCTCCAGATACCACATTTTCGTGGTGTTTTTATGAGAAATGAACTGCCGGAAAAAATTCGAAAAAATGAATGTGGTATTGTAAACTTAGATATATCTTCGGGTAAGGGAACGCACTGGACCACATATACAAAGAAAAATAAGGAGATAATGTATTTTGATAGTTATGGAGATCTTAGACCACCAGAGGAGTTGGTGAAGTATTTTCGGAGTGATGGTGGCTTGAATAATGTGAAATATAATCATGATCGATTCCAGGATTATGATTCATATCAATGCGGACACTTATGTTTGATTTTTTTATATAAGCAGTATGAAATTTGATGTTGAGCTATTTGTGAATATACTTTATCACCGTCAACATGTCTTTTACTTTTACATTATCAGGCAAGTCTTCAGTTCTATCAGCTAACTTAGACGTGCCTTTGTACCTCGAAGATAACGTAAATTATGAAGTTGGTCTGAAGAGTTTCGAAACATTCAACCAAATTAATAATATTGATTTCACAAATAATCAGTTTTACTATAATGATAATGATCAATTAGGAATTTTAGTTGGGTCTTATGAATTAACTGACATACTCAAAGTAATTGAAAACAATGTCAAACCTGGAGTGAAAATCAAATTCACTCTGAATTATCATACTTCAAGAATTGAACTGGAAACGAATACAAAAATCGATTTCTCAAAACCAAACTCAATAGGGGTCGTATTAGGATTCAACCAAAGAGTTCTAGACCCGGGTAGACACGAAGCATTGGATTCAGTTCAGATATTCAAAGTGAATGCTATATGCATAGATTGTAATATAGCTAATGGATCTTATTTGAATGACAAACCCGGTCATATTATTCATGAGTTTTTTCCAACTGTACCGTATGGGTATAAAATACTGGAAACACCAGAGAATATACTGTATTTGCCTGTAACAGTCAAGACGATAAGTAACATTACTTTACGTGTTTTCGATCAAGACGAAAATATAATAGACTTTCAAAAAGAAACAATAACGATAACGCTACACTTGAGAAGAATTTCTAATTATGGTACTCAGATTTAATAAGGACTTTTCTGTGAACACACCCCGCAAAGTGTATAAAAGGAAGATTATTACCAAACGACAAGTTAGTTCTAGAAAGAACACCAAAATATTAACATCTGAAAACCGATTGTTTTTGAAATCTCTTGGATTCAAAGTATTGGTATAATGGAGCTGTTAAATGTAACTGGCAGACCCTTTAATGATACAACGGTAGAAAACTACCAATTCCACACTTATCAACCATATGTAGCAAGTAATTTCAACTACAATGACGAAGTCCGTATCCCGATTCAGGAACTTGACAGCTATTCAGCACCTTGTAATAGTTATTTATATATTGAGGGTAAATTGACTCAAGAGAACAACAGCCCTGTTGATAAAATAGGATTCATAAGTAACGGAATTTCATTTTTGTTTCGAGAAATAAGATATGAATTAGGTGGTATCGTTGTCGACTCTGTCAGAAATGTAGGCTTGGTTTCCACCTTGAAAGCATACTTATCATATAACACCAACGAATGCAACTCTCTACAAAATGCTGGATTTTTCAAGTCGTTACCTACCCAGAAGATCTTGATCGATTCGAAAGGATTATTCAATGTGTGTATTCCCATGAAGTTTCTGATGGGCTTCTTTGAAGATTTCAAGAAGTTAATCATCAACATGAAGCAAGAGTTAGTTATTATTCGCTCTAGTGATGATTTTGATAGCATCACGAGCACAATTGAGACAGAAAAACCGAAGGTTGAAATCAGTAAAATATTCTGGCGAGTACCACACGTCACTCTTAGTATTCCTGCACAACTTGGGATGAATAAAATTATCAGTAAGAACACAGATCTTCCAATTAGTTTCAGATCATGGGAGCTAATTGAATACCCTAGTTTACCATCCTCTTCTCGCCACCAATGGCCAGTTAAAACAAGTAATAAAATAGAAACACCCCGCCATGTTATTGTAGCATTTCAAGTTGATAAAAAAGGAAAAATCATGAGTGATATGAGTAAGTTTGATAATTGCGGTCTTACAAACATGAGATTATTTCTAAACTCAGACAAGTTTCCCTACAATGATCTATACTTAGATTTCAAGAACAATAAGTTTGCAACTTTATATGAAATGTATGCTAATTTTCAAGAAACCTATTATAATGAAAAAGTTAGCAATGAACCATTATTTAACCCAATTGAATTCAAAGAGGTGTCTCCCATAACACACATCGATTGTTCACGACAAAAAGAAGCTGTACAAACTGGTAGTATAGTTATGCGAATTGAATTTGAAACTGCCGAAGCTACAAAAAATAATACTACAGCTTACTGCCTGATTCTTCATGAGAGACATTTTACATACAATCCTCTAACCAAAATGGTACGACAACTTTGAAGTGCGCATGACATGATCAGGTTATAACATCAAACAACACATCAAAAATATACCATAATGAAATCATTGTTGAACCAGAGGTGTGCGCGAAGGTCGTTGTATTCCAACTCTCTTAAGAATCACATAACAAAATTGGAAAGGCTCAAAAAAATTTTAGAATTATATGAAGATAAAATTATTCTGTTGAAAGCATTAAATAATCTGAAAATATGACGCTTGTCTTGGATGTTCAAGGCTTCAAATTGGAGAAAAATAAATTTATTGTGAAAGAGCTGGCAGCATTTGATGGATCCAAAATATGTCACTATATTTTCAAAGCACCCTTTCCACTTGATCAATTATCACCAGATTTGCAAAGGCAAGCTCACTGGCTGACTGAAAATCATCACTGCCTTCCGTGGGATATGGGATTCACACCACTACATTTATTCGGAAAAATCATCATGGATTTGACAAATTCTTCAGACATTATCTATGTGAAAGGGTTCGAAAAGGCCAACTATATTAGACAGTTTATCAAAAAACTAGTTGTTGAATTTGATGAGCAGCCAACTTTGAAAATGACCCATCCAAAATGTTTCAACCATTCAAAGACTCAATGTATATGTGCACTATCTAATGTTTTTTATTTATATGAGAATTTTATTATGAGATGTTCATGAAATGACTACAATAAAAAAATTTATTCAATCAAGTTTATTAATTTTTCAAATCATCTTCACAACTTTCACAGTTACAAGTTTCATTATCACAACTATCATCAGCTTCTTCTTTCTCTTCTGCATCACCCTCTTCCTCGTCTCCTGGATTACCATCACTCCCATTTTCACTCAATAGCCAATATTCTACTTCACTAGCAGGTAGGAACTGTCTGATTCTCTGGAGGTATCCCTCAAAGTTCAAATGTATGAGTCCTTCGACAAATCCTTGGAGACTCAACACATTTTCTAAATATTTAGAACAAAGCTCTGCACCTTCATCGTATTTTTCAGCTAACTCCGTACAGTAGGCCTCTGTATAAAAGCGCCCCATACCGTACACAGCTTCGTGTTCTGCGTCAAATCGCAAATTGCTGAAAGTTTGATATAAATTTTCCACGCCACTTTCTAAATCTTTTATTTCAACTTCACGCACATATGCCATCCACATTTTGGATTTTTCACTTGTACTGACGGAATTGTGAACCATCATTAATATAGGTATATCCCACCCCACAAATTCTAAACCACATTTTATTAAACTGGTTCACCCCACCATTGCAAGAACCAGTTTTCAAGTAAACTGGTTTTAAGTTAACCAAAACTAGTTTTGATACAATAAGACAGAATTAAATCGAATTGCAAAACACTTTTCGAGTAAACCAGTTTTTCAAGTTTCCTAAAACTAGTTTTGGTATAATAAAACAAAAATATCGAATAAATGTTTATTGAAGTAATAGTTCCAGTTTCATCAGAACAATGAATTAGTCTTGTAATTTTTTCACTGAAGTCACATTTTAGTTTTTCAAGTACAATATATTTTTGCCTATAGTCATAAGTACAATATATTAATGTCTTGTCATAAATATATATATGTCAACTAGTTAAATAACTGAGCACTCAGATCGAAATGTTCAAAATAATATTCCTGAGTTTCTTCAATATCTTCACATGAATTTTCTGATAATCTTATTAACAAATCTAATTTGTCATTATTGGGTACATTCATATTGATCGATTTATGCCCCCAAGCTAATGTTTTCGAAATTCCTGGTAAAACATATCTTTTATCATCATGAGAAGATAATGCCACTTTATTCTTCAGTTCAGTGTACATTACATGTAAATATGACCTGAATACATACATCTTTCTATATACCACACCACCTTCTTCAACAATTTGTTTATAATTTGAAAAGTTAAGTTGATTTTTTATTACATTTTTAGAAATACCTTTAGCTTTTTTAGTTTCACTACTACTCAACCTGACACAGTAAGCCTTAGCTCCTGTACCGTAAAATTCTTCAATGGGAGTCCCAAAATACTCATCTTTAAATTTACCAACTACTGATTTGGTTCGTGGAATTCCATAAATATTATCTACTGGATAATTTGATGTATCGAACCAATATAAATTTTGTCTGATATCTTCATACACATTATCGGTATTTATATGTAATATCAAAGAATCTGTATCAGTGTAACATAGTGAACCATTTTCATTATATTTCGCTTTGATGAAATCATAGAAGAAATCATATAAGACTATTTTTGAAATATCAAGGATTGAAAACCCCACATATAAAGGTTTATCATAGCAGATTTTGAGAGGAGTCATCTGAATAGCAACAAGATTTTCGGAAAATACAGAACACGACTTAAAATTTGGTCTACTTATCAGAGCTTGAGCACCAGTTATACCACGCATATTTTCCCAATGTGTTGAAAGCTTTATATTCACACGTTTATCAACATTTTCCATAGTTTTACCGAAAATTGAATTCGTGAGATATTTTATGAGATCTTTTTCAAAAGCATTTCTGGCATTGTTACGTAGTTTAGTATTAAGATCAATATATGACTTCAACCATTTTGACTGAGAAAATTCTATGACTCTGTGAATTTTCTTCAATATCAAACCATGTTTCAAGCACTGCTTGAGATTCCTGTAGTGGATAATGTATTTACTTTTATTCTGAAGGTTCAAAATAAGTTTGGAATGTTTTCCATTTGGTGGAATAATATTTTCCGGACAAAATGGTAAATCGTTATGAATATCGTGTAATCCTTCAGGATATTCAAGATCTACTTCTAGTACGTAACCCTTCTCCGAATCATCTTCTACCATTGAACAATCGAATTTTACAATTTCTTCCTCAGTCAACCATTTGAAATCACCCCTAGGTAAACTCTGACTCATTGCACATCCGTAGAGGTTGGTTGCGTCGAGGTACAAAATGTATGAATTTGGTTTTGATTCATCATAATTTTGTATGAATTGATTATTAGCTGAAGCCATTCTTTTTGAGACCTGACTTACCCCACCCCGAATTCCTTTTTTAAAAAAATTTAGTATGTTAATGTCGGTAATTAGTTCAAGTTGTGTGCCAGTATTCTTTAACATGGCATCCCAACTCAATGATGGGGCTGTATAATATTGTGCTGGATCTAGCTTATATGTTCTTATACAAAAGTCTCGGAAATTTTCAAAAATATCAGCCAGCAATAATACATCCGATTTCAGATAAACGTCTGAATAGTCACCTAAACTTTTGCATTTGAAAATATTCCACACATTCTTTGCTCTACTATAATCTTGTGAACTTATCCCCTCACCACGCAAAATATCAAAAAAATCATCCTGACTTGGTAAATTTGTTTCATTCAAGTTTTCGATGGATCTAACGTATTATTATGGAAATATACCCTTTTGTCTAATTTGATCAAACTCATTCTGATTGGGAAAATATTTTCTGATTTCTTTACATTGGTCTGACTCCAAAGTTTTACTCAAATTATCTAATGATCCTGGTAAAAAACGAAATGAGTCTAGAAAACGCAATTTCATGTATACATTCTCAGAATGTTCATCACCTTTTTCAACTAGGATGTGTTTCGAAAATGATATGTACTTCTCTTTGTTCTGTGCCAAAACATCTATCCTTTCTTTATTTAGAGCTAATTTCTTTATAAACAGATGACAGTCATAATTAGTTAAGTTGTGAAAGAATACACTGATGAATTTAGGAATTTTGTAATTCAAATTGCATTTTGAATGGGCGGGGGAACGGTAATGTCCTGTCAGGTGGCAGTGGTCTCTGACCTTGACTTCATCATCCTTGATAGTCTTATTACAAATATGACAAATCGTACTAATTTTGAAATGTAGCTTTTGTGCGTCTGTGAGAGGTATCATTTCTTTGGGATTCTTCAAATGTTTGTTATATAGTTGAATAACTCGTTCTTCTAATCTGGTGACAAATACATCTGCCGCATCAATGCCCCGATATTGAACTAATTCTGATAATGAATCATCGAAGTTACACTTTATGTAAAAGCAAAATGAGTGTGGAATATGTTCAAACGTTTTGACTGTGAATGCTTCATCACTATTGGGTTCACTATGTTCGATAGGTTTCAGAATGCTTTCAAAATCTGCGTAAATAACGAAAGGAACAGTGAGCTGTTTTTCAAAATTAACAAATTTAAGAATGTTTTCTGGGAGTTCTTCCCCAAACTTGTTCGTGGTCAAGGTTTTTGTCGGTAATTTGGTATATATGAAATTACAATCATTGCTTTCATGGAATGTTAACTCTTGTTTAGTTCTAAAAAATAGAAGGCAGCCATTGCAAATAAAGCACCGCCCATTATGCTTAGATTTTTGACTCGATACTAATCGTGATAAATCTTTGATATAACAATAATGACTGTTACCGTTATCATCGGCAATCAGTAAAAGATTGACATGAGTATTTTTCTTATTCTTAGTAAAATATAATGGTCCTACTATTTCAAATATCATTTTGCCATTTTTGAAATGCTTATCAATACCAAAAACGTTAATTGAAATATTATTCATTGATTCAAATTTAGGTATTTTATCTAACTTGACAGGAAAATCTATACCTTCGAAATTAAGCAGTGTAGAATAATGCGGATATGAAGATATTCGCTGCGGGTGTCCAGTAGCTTTGAAAATGGCTGCGTTAACTGCATAGGCGAAGCACTTATTATCTTGATTTTTGATATTCACAACAGCTCTTTTATTTTCGATCTGTTTCGGCAATTTCATGAAACATGATGCTGAGAGTGGGTTGTACTTGTTAATATTCACTTCCAAAAAGGCGATGTGTTGCAAAATCCATCCTTAAAATAACATTTACACATCAAGTCATGGAAACCATCCATTCTCAAAGTGGTCCAGTATTTCTCAGAAGGAGAAAAACAATAACTCTAAGTCGGTCGACCACAAAATTTAATAAAAACCCCCCTCAATGTGTAACGTGTTTCGGCCACACGACCATCTTCAGACACAAAAAATAATCGGGTCGCTGATTTGTATGGAAACATGTGAATATCTCGGTAACCAGTCGTTGGATTTTTTTGAATTTATGTGCAGTGTGATTTCAAAATGTGGCGGATTTGAAAGTGTTATAGCCAATGTTGCCACTTTTTCAGTTATTCCGGAATTTTATTAACTTCCTCATTTTGAATAAAACACCCTGTACTTTATTAGATTTTCAGATACTCCTTGAAGAGCTGATTCCATCGATCTATCACACTTGGGGTCTAGCGGGAATGATTACATAGGTATAGGGTGTTTAAAATCTAGATTTTTCAACTGTAGGATTTTTTTGTGTCTAAACTATTCATTATTGGTCAAAAATACACACATGTCACTATCTCAACTTTCGATTTAATATCCACTGACATTGATTTGTAACAATACAGGGTTGTTCAATGAATAGTTTTGACAGAAATAAATTCTTGAAGTTGAAAAATCTCGATTTTGATCACCCTATATCTCTGTAATCATTCCAGCTAGACCCCAAGTGTGATGTATTGATGAAATCAGCTCTTCAGGGAGAATCTACACCCTGTACTTCATTATATTATTTTTTGTGTCTGAAGATGGTCGTGTGGCCGAAACTAGTTACACATTGAGGGGGGTTTTTATTAAATTT